AGCCTCGTTGTTGCTGAGGCGTTGCAGTAGACTGGCGGATGCAGCCTTGCTATGATGCAGGTTAATTTGCTGTACCCGCATCTTCAGTATGTGTGGATCCATTTTTCTCCACCACAGTGACATCAAAAGCACTATCCTCCTCAGAGTCATTACTCATTAGGAGTTCCTCTTCATCGAAAAGATAGCGCATGCCTATGCTCTCCTCTGATGTAATTGAGTGAGCTGGCGAAGGAGCAGACATTGAAATGTCCATGCACACAGGTGAGTCTTCAGATGGAATAACCGGACCCACTTCGGTCATTGAAGCAGGCTTAATGTTGCCCACTTTCGACAAGGGATCAGCAGTGTGTTGAGAAATTGCCGCTGATTCCCGTACATCAGACGAGGATTGCTCCTCATCTTTTTTGTAGACCCTCATAGTTATGGGGAAAAAACCGTAATTTAAAACGCCACCAGATCGCGCCAAAATGGCCAGAGAGGCTTTGTCGATCACAAAACTGACCGACCTAAACTTGCCTTTGGCTTCCTCCAGCTTGGTGACCTTCCACGTGGACGTATTTAGATCAGGGTTTCCCACCCGAATTAGCTCCAGAATCCGCTGAGGGTCGGATGGTTCGGCTGGAATCCAGGAACGCGCCCTAGGTCGGCCAGGAATTTGTTCCTTGGCAACGACTTTAAGCTTTGCGCCTGGCCAGACCTCACCCATTCTGGAGATGGCAATGCGAAAGAGATCAACAGAACGCTGATCAACGCAGGCGACTAGTTTCACATGGCCCTGAAACCATCCACCGTCGCGACATTTGGGAATTGTACCTGGAAATTCCTTAAGAACTTCGATGAACAAGTCAAGGAGCTTTCGCTCAATTTGATCCCATTTTTCAGGATTAATAGTGCCATCTGGATCATTTTCATCAATGACCGCCATTATGATGGAGCCCTTCAGCGTGTCGCTAAAGGACTTAGTAGTGGTGGCGTTGCCACGAAATTTTGCCTTTTTGGCATCTGGCTTCGAAGCTGACTCATCTAATGAGCGCTGGCGCTTCGGTACAGGTTCCTTTTTAACTTCCTTAGAAGTATCAAGGACCCGTTTGGCCCAGGCTAATCTAGCCTTAAGAGACTCGGACGTAACCGAGACATTACCATATCTCTCGAGCAGCCTAGTCGCCGCTCGCCGTTCTTTATAAATTCTCCTGGATGGAGAGCCCGACCATGCAGAAGGGCCAGAACGCGTGGAGATTCCTGGTTTATTAGGAGGTACCCTGTTATTACCGCTAGAAGTTGCGGTAGGTACCTTGGAACTAGCCGTTCCAGAAGAGCTTGGTTTAACCGAGCTTGATTTTTGTAAATTTTTATTGTTTTGGTTCATATTTTAAACCCACGAGTTGCGGAGAAAGGAGAGTCGATCCGGGCAGAGATCCGCTATACCCGGACAAGGCTAAGTTACAACCGGAGGGCGCCAGATATCCGGAGGTCTCCGTTTAGAGACACACTAACGTAGTGCCATTCATCTCATCGGCACGGGTCGAATAACACCGGAGATTACGGGTTTTATCGAGTTTTCCTCTCTAGATCCATAGTGTTCTGTTGAGTCAATGAAATTATCAACTACAAACAGGTTCACCTCGAGAAGGGTGTGATAAAGTACCACGCACCATGGTCTTGGTAAGGCATAGGCTGATGTTTTGCGCATGACCATACCCTGTTCATTGAGAACACGAACCCTTATTTTAGACTGTAGTGGATTTTGAACCCAGAATTTGTCTGTCGTAGTTCGACACACGAACTACGATCGGAGACTCTTATCCGAACTTATCGGACTATACAAATAGTTAGTAGCACTGAACCAAATTATTTTCGAAATCATTCGCCGATTTCAAAGACAGAATACAAAAACGCATACAAGTTTTTTACTTTAAATATACATAAACTCAAATTAATAGGTGGTTTTTATAGAAAATAACTTGTAATTAAACAGCTTTTTTCAAAGATGGGATTAAAGATTGCTAATACCTGTAGCTTTCATCAAATTTATTAATATTATGTGTGGTTATGACAAAAAGCGGGACATATACCTTCATCTGTTGGTCATTGAACCCAAACAAGTCTAGAAGCTTCAGTCATGGAAAATTAAGAAGTTTATAAATAGCCTTAATTTTTATCTGGATAAAATTTAGGATTAATGGGCATTATTCTTTTAAAAATAAATTCAATATATAATTACTAATATTAATGACTTCATTGATATTATATTTTTAAATAAAAAAATATTAGAAAAGTAATTATAATAACTGTATTTATAAATTTTTGCAAAATCATTTCATAAATAGTTTTTAATTGTTTTAAAAATAAGCTTTCATTGCTCAGTACAAATAAAATATAAAAATTAATTCAATGAGAATAATAATAATAATTTCAACTACTTTATAAATTTCAATTTTGAAATTGAAAAATAAGTACATTTATTAAAAAATTATATTTAACTGGCACAAAAAACAACAACTCACTTAAAATCAAATTTAGTTGCAATTTTTTTCTAGATAATATAAAAATACTTGCATATTTTCATTTTTATAAGAAAAAAATGCTTTTCAATTTTAGTTTTAAAATGAAATTTCTCGAAATAATACCAATTGCTGCTTTGTTATCAGTTACTTGTTTCTACTCCAGCATCGCTGGAAAGGTCTGTAAATATTTGCTTTCCTTCAGAAAATATTTACTGAATACAATAACAATTTTTTATCATTTTGTTTAGAATGAATTCGAGGTGTATTTTGAGGAGTGCAAATGCTACTTGTTGAACTCCACAATCCTAAATCTCTTTTCATGTACGTTGAATGCTAGAACTACACGCCGTACATTAAATATGGAATGGATGTTTGGTCAAGACATCAACAACTTTAGCGTTAATATAGTTGTGACAGTACCACGTAAAAATTCAAGGTTACTATTGCTTAACATGACCAATGTTAGTGGATGTGATTTTGTGGCAGACAGAAATAAAATATCTATACTTGGTGTGCTGCGCAAAAATGTGGAACACTACAGCAATATACCCAAAATTTGTCCATTTAAAAAGAAAACTTTATACTATTTAAGAAAATTTCGCTATAATTTACAATTGTACCCGCCCTTTAATATTGAAACTGCTATGGATGTATTTATCGAATTAATGGTAGGAAAAATTAAAATTGCTAACGGCTCTATTAGACACCTTATCTCCGCAAAAAAATAATGAAAGAACAAAGATTTTCGTAAATGAAATAATGTATTTAAATGTGCCTTTAATGCATTCATTTTATTACATACTACAATAAAAAATTTTCTGATAATAACCTGTCTGTTTAATATCGTCATAAAAAATGTACTGACTAAATAAGTCCACAGATTTTTTTCGAAAACCAAGAAGGGCATTTAGACACCCAAACAGTTATACTGGTAATCTAAACAAATTGCTCTAAGAAAGTCATAAAAACAACACTATATTAATAATTGCCTTATTAAAAATTGTATAATCTACAGTATTTTGAACACATATATAAATGTTTCTTAATATGATGACAAATTTATCATTCTTTCGTAAAAAGTGTAGAAATCGTGGTGATTCAGAAAAGAAAAAGTTTCCAGTTTTGCCAATTGTTTTTAAAGGCAACCTGCTTTCTCTTAATATATTTATAAATACATTTGTTTTCTTCGATGTAAGTTAATGACCGATTTTTATCTAATACTTAATGTATTTTAACCTTAATTACTTCTTATATACAATTACACTACAATATACCTCTAAAAGATTCTTAGAAGACTTTTTATTCTGATGCATAAATTCGTAAAAACCGTGTTCACAAATATATTTTACTTTCTCTAAAATATAATCATTTTACAGAAAAAGTACAGCATTAGTCCTTTCACATTAACTATACACAACCATTGGTTTAGATATACCATACACATACACCAAAATATCACGGCGTGATGTTAAACATAAAACTAATTCAGATAGAATATTTAAAAACTAAAAGTATATGTCTAGATTTGAAGTTCCAAAATATGGCTGTCCTCTTGGCCGGCAATCATCCCTATCCCCCAACATAATAAACTACTCCTCTTTTTTAAGCTCGTATTTTGCTACTGTACTTCACACTCAAGATGTATTTGTTATACTAAAAAAATGATATACAACAATTTCAAAATAAAGTATTTAGAGATGTGGTTAAAGCTTTTTGGTACATTAGAAGCACTGCCATATGCAGTTCCATAAAATACTACCGGTCAAAGTAGGAAAAAACAGGGTGTTCAAATCATATATAGAACGTCTTGCAACCTATACCAATGTCCAAATTTCCAAACGTGAAAAACCAAGCAAATTTATTATGATGTTGAAGAGAACGAAATATATATAAACTTTAAATTACTATATTAAATTTTAATATATTATATATAATAAAATAAAACTGCTAACTATTCTAATTCAAGAAACTAGTAGCAATAATAAACAATGAAATAAAAACAGAAATGAGTCTAAGTATTTCCATTGGTATTAGCTTTAGTCTAATGAAATAAATTTTTGGAGTGAAACTTTTACGACTTCAATTATATTAAATTAACAAATATAGTAGATATGTATAATGTTTTAAAATGTAAAACACTTATACTATACAGCTACCGAAAATAAGCTTATAATTATAAATGTGTATATTGGTATATAGTGCAACTGGGCAGTTTTACTCTTTGATAGCTGGGGGTACTACAGGGTCCCACCCATCTCATTGATTAATTTATGTATTCCTTATAAGCTTCATGATTATTCAGTGATTGATCTAAGATCTGCGTACCTCCCCATGCGGAGACTGATTACACTAAGATTAGATAGTGCTAAGTAGGATACCCTGTCAGTTTTCGCATATAACTTCAGGGTTCTGTCCCTTATGTATTTTTTGATCGGGTCTATTCTAAGGTCTCTTAGCATGTCGTTTGTTCGGATGTACCAAGGCACTTTGAAGAGTCTTCGGAAAGCCAGACTTTGAGCAACTTGTAGCTTTTGCATAGTAGAGACGGCAGCTTTGTTATACACGACACACCTATAAAGTAATGCTGGTCTAATTATCTGGCTATAGATCAGTTTTCTGTTCTTCGCGCTAAAGTTGTTGTGTTTGAAAAGTGGTTGTAAGCATTGCAGTGTTTTAGCACAACTGCTTCTTTTGACTTGTATATGCTTATGCCAAGTGAACCACTTATCAAACGTGATACCTAAGTATTTATACGGCAACAAACAAATACAAAATATGTATATAGTAAGCATATAAATAAATAATTGATTAGTTAGTTAATTGTTAGTTGTAAGGATATTGGCTCTTTTCTTCGTTTCTTTCATTTACGATTTGTTTCACTTTCGTTCTGAAAGCTAATTTATGAAAAGAAGATTGTTTTTTAATCAGATTACCTAAATTGTTGGTTTCAAATTAATAAGTTCTTAAAAACGTTTTAAGGAATTTTTCACAATCAACTTAATTGTAATTTATTGTTTACCCAAATATATTTAAAATAAAATTTAACAAAAAAAAAAACAAAAGATCAAAAAATTTAAATCCTTTTTCACACTGTTTTTCTTCGTGGTTTCTCTAACCCTTTTTTTATTATATATATAGTATGTTCCAGAATTGTTTTATCATACTCTTTAGGGTTTCCTTCGTAGCTAATCAAAATAAAATCAACTTTTGCTTTATAAGCTGTGAAAATACTTTAAATTGGTTTTTATATGCATTTTTTAGGATATAAAGGATTAATTTTTTTTAATGCTCTTTAAAAAAATTTTTATTTATTTAAAAATAAAGTGGTTTTTTAAAAATAACGTAGCACATATATACATAAAGTATATAATTTTGCACAATATACATATATCGCCATTCCCTTCAATATACAATATGTATATATAACATATATATATATGTATATATAACATATATATATATGTATATATAACATATATATATATATGTATATATAACATATATATATATCTATATATAACAGACTTTATGTTTTTCCTAATATAACATAACCGATGTTTTTTCTTTATTTTTTTTTTAAATTTTTTCTATTTATTTAATATTCATAATGTTCTTATTGATGTGTTTGTATAATTAAAACTTATGTTTTTATTTAAAAAATGCTTGTACATTACAATTCATTGTTTTTAATTAAGTAATTGGTGTAATTTTCATAATTTTTGTAATTTTTATAATTGTCGCCAATTAATTATGTGGGCTTGCTTGTGCGTCCTTTTTAATGTAATTTCTGTCTTATTATCCTCCTCGTGTATTTATTGTAATTATTTGTCTTGTCTGTGCATTTTGTTGTTGTGTGTGTTGTTCTTCGTGTAAAGTTGAGTAAATTTGTATGAGGGCACACAAAATCACTCATACCAGCACTTCGTGTTTAGCGTAAATTATGTACTATATAAGACCATTTTGTGTCAATTTGTATAAAAAACTCGCAAATAATCCATATCGTCTTTTTTCTTCGTTTTTATTGTTTCACTGTTTTTTTTTTCTTTTCTTCTTTTTGGTTCATTCTGTAAGTTTTTGCCCTTACAGCTGCTTTGTTGGGCGCACGTTTTCGTGCTGGCTCCAATGCAGGTATACTCGGTCTGGGCGGTTTGCCCGGACTGGCTGCTGGTGCTAATGCCGCGGATGATGCTGATGGTGCGGAAACTAATAACCTAGATGTACCTGCTGGCTGTAATATGGGCAGAAGAAGAAGTCGTGCAGTTTTGTATCAACTTTCAGGTCATTATAGACCTGAGAAAGTAAAGACTAAGTTAAAATTGGGAAATGTAAGTAAAAGTACTTAAGCACTCAAATCAAAAAACAAAAAAAAAAGAAATGAAAAAACTTTTTTGTGCTTACATTTTTAAAAAATAAACTTTTTATTTTTCTTCATCATTCCACAAACCATTTTCACAAAACTTACTCAACGCTAAACATACTTAATTAAATTCTTACCTCAACATTTGAAGGAAACTAAAATCTAATTTCGGTTTGTTTTAATCCTTCTGCATCAACAATTGCCATATCCTTCTAGGCATACAATCACCATTAAATCTTTTGTTCTTTTTGTTTGTAGTTTTTGTCTTAAATTTTTCTTTTGTCTGCTTTCTCGTTTAGAAATTGTTGCATTCATCTGAAGCTCCTCTTCCTGAGTACAAAACTCAATCGATAAAGAAGTCACGCTTCATTTTACCCCATTATGGTGTTTTCAAAGGATTCTGGGATTGGATTATACTGGTGTCAACATTTTACGTTGCCATATTGGTGCCATACAACGCTGCCTTCGCCAAAGCGGACCGACAAACAATGGTGTCAGACGTATTTGTCGAGGCAGTTTTCATAATTGGTACGTATGCTCATGAATTTTAGTATCTTTATTTCGTATCTTTCCTTCGACTACCAGCACACCTCCATCGTTTGTTATCAGTGTTTTTCTGTTTTAATTCAATTTGTTACTAAATTGTTTTGTGTATTTTTACTTTTATTTCATTTTATTTGCAGATATTTTGCTTAATTTTCGTACCACTTTTGTGTCCAGTAAAGGAGAAGTGGTATCTGATTCAAAGCTGATAGCCATCAACTATTTAAAAGGCTGGTTTGTAGTGGACTTGTTAGCCGCTTTGCCATTCGATCATTTGTATGCCTCCGACCTTTATAATGGAGAGGTAAGTTCATTTCAAACAAATCAAATTAAGTCAAAGTGTTGATTTTGTGATTTCATCCAAAAAATATATTATGTTTTGCATACATACTTTTGTAGATTTTATCAAAAAAGGTCAAAAAGGCATACATTAATAAAATTATCATTATTTTGTGCAAACTCAAATCATATAAATAAATTAATAATTAGTGTTTGATAAAGATAAAGAAAGGATTTTTGCCTGCATCATTAAGTTTAGTTCTAAAACCACTATCCATATATGTAATATGATAATAATATAAAGGATGATGTATGATTTCAAAACGTAGCAAGGCTGAATAAATTAGCACTGATATATATTTTTTATTAAATAAATTTTTATTTATGTGATATATGTTACGTAGGTATATTAAAAAAAGTATCGAAGATACAGAGACCTTATCACTAAGCCTTGTTGAGTTTTTTTTTCTGTATTAGATTAGTAAATTCACCAAGTTTAAAATGTCTTGACTTAATGTCAAAACTCTGAAATGTTATGTTTATAATAAAGAAAATAAATAGAAAAAATTACTATTAACAAGATTTATAAATAGTCATCATTTTGGAATTTCAGATCGTAGGACACGAAATTTATTTCAAATAGAAAAGAGTTATAATAGTAAAGAAATTCTCTTATTCTCTTATTAAAGAATTAATTATAATATATTTCATTAGATCTTAGCAAATTGTCATAACAAAGCTTATTAGTGCGTTTCTTGTATCTTTCAAACGATTAATGTTTATAATTATAGATCACATCACGATAAGTAGAGTGAAAGCATTTCTAAGCTCTTAATACTCAGTAGTCTTAGTGATATAATGTACATTTTAATAAAAAAGCAACAACTTAAATATATTCTATAAAAATAGAATACTACAGAAAAATAACACTAAAACAACTAATACGTGTATATGTATCAGGAATTATATATATGTAACCTGCTGTCAATTATTATTTTCTTGGCTAGTATTACCACTGTTGATAAGAGCAAATGGCGAAAACTAAGTTTCTCCATTCTATTCTGTCATGAACCTTATGTCGAATCTTCACTACGATCCAAACAGCTGATGTTTTGCTTAAACATATCACCACAATGTAGTATAAGGACATCCAAATTAACGAAACCTTAATGATTCCATTCGACGAATGTCAGAATCTCTTTTGCACAGATCGTCATTCCCTTCTTCTGCTCTCAACAGGGGTTCACCTGCGGTTATAGTTAATAAATCATTGTTGAAGGTGATCTTTGACCAAGAGATATAGAAAACACCACATAGATGATTCTTTAAAAAAATCTTATTATTTATGGCAGATGTTTTCTTTGATCTTGCAGTTCACCCATGCGAAGACCGGAACTATTTAGACTTAAGTTTTAGTTTCAATCTTGGGGTGCAATAATCTTAAAGATTTAAAAACACACATGTCTGTTATAGCAAATCAAATGCAATAATATTTTGAAAAAAACTTCATGCGTTTATTAAATATATTTATAATTTTCCATAAATAGTATTTAATAGTATTAATCATAATTTAGAAAACTAACTCATTTTCAATGTTTAAAACCGTCTCAAATACTTTCAAATTGTTATTTATTTTTAGAGATGTGTATTATTTATCTATTTAAAGAAATTAATTGAAGCCAAGATTATGGAGTATGTATGTGTTACTAAGTTTTCCCCTTCAATGTGAAATAAGTTTTACTACCACGGATCAGTGTAAAACACCAAATCTCTTAAAATAGTTTTAATTTTAATACAAAAGATATAAACTTTATGCAGATACATATTTGCTTTTACAGTAAAAATATAACATTTTCGTGGAGGAGTTGTGTTATGTTCGTAGATACAGAAATTCTTGTGGGTTGGTATTTTCCATTGCTATTTTAATATGCACTCTGAATTAAGTTTTTAAAGTTATTTATTTATTTTATTTTTAAATATTTCGTTTATTTATTATTTTATTTCCTCTAAAATCCTTTTGTAAAAATTTGAAAACCAAAAACGCTTATGTTTTTATAAGTAAAAATTTTTTGCGAATTTGGGTTTAGTATTTATTTATTTAATTCTATTTATTTTATTTTTTTTGTTTTATTAATATCTCTTTCCTTTCTCCAACTTTCTTTTTATTTTGTGTATTGATTTTAAACTTTAATTTCCAAAGTCCTTTGCGAATTCAATTATTCTGATAAGGAACTAAAAAGCTTAATTTGGTGTTGATCCGATTAGCTCAAGCGGAAGAGGCTCCTGCATAAATACTTTTTAATTGATAAAGTTAATTTTGGAATTATTGCTTGAATTAACTGTGAGCAAAAAGAAAAAGTGGAACTTGCAGACTTATTGAATGTTTGACTCATAGATAAACTTTTTATCGATTTGTTACACTTAAGTTAAGTTAATCTGACTTAATTTAAAACTTTATTTGTATGAAACGATTGATAAGTCAAAAATATAAACACTTAATTTTCTTAAGAATAATTTTGACAAAATTTAATTAATTATATGCAATAAGCCTTCGAAACTAATTTTTATGAGAGTCACTATTTATATTTTGAGCCTGAAAAAATTTTGAACCACGATTAAAATCATTGTACCAGCGTTTCACAGTGACAAAGAATGAAGCTTCATCGCCTAATGTGGTCTACTGTGTGCCCTTCTAGACCAAGCTCTGTTGCTTCAATAAAGAGTATTATAGAAGCTACTTTACAGAGTTTAATTGCTTCTTTTGCAGAGTATACATTTTCAGAAGTCTATGTATGTGCATTAGCGCAGTGCATGCACATGTGTGACTAGCTCTCCACTTTTTTTACAGAATCTACAGTTTGCATACGTATAAATGCCCAGTCTTGTAAGATGATATTTTATATATATTTATGTACCATATATATTTTATTTAAATAGTTTATTTTAAATTGTTTAATTTATAAACCAACACTGCGAGTTTTTTAATTTCCAATTTTACGAATTTTTAATATTTTAAACAACTTCATAATAAAGTTTTATTGATTAACATCTTACATCTCTGAAAAAAAAACTCTTACTTCTTGGGTATTACTGTTTCATTGCGTATCTGTCATCTGTTAAAAAACTTTCAATGTTTCCTCATAAAAAAAATTTTCCACTTTCTAATTGCTGACAGAGAACTTAAACCTGAAAACTTGAATTATATGAACTTCCTGATTTTGAAGAGTTCCGCAAATATTTTCTATTTTACTTTGACTGACTTTCAACATAAAGACAAAGTATCTTTCTTAAGATTTTTAAGCTGTTTACTTGCATTTCTTTCGCTATGATTAAAGTATTTGTAGAGCAAAGATTTTATATAGTTTGCTGTATAAAAAAATACTTTTTAAAACTCATTCTGCCACAAAGTTTCTTAGACAAGAATAAGAAGATTTTATTACTGCTTTACTTTACTCTATTATCATGAAACAAAGTAAAATTATAGGTCACTGCAAATTAGTAACTTTCTACGCATATTAAATGGCATTGATTTAAGTAGAAGAAGTAATTAGTCAAATTTATTTACTTTTAATATCATTATTTTTATTTGATAGAAAATATTAAACAATTCTTGCAGTATATTAAGCGATCCTTAAGCACTGTAGTATTTTAAACAATTAATTTTATGGTACAGTTTATATATAAAATATTATTAATATAACTATATGTAATGCTTTGAGATAGAAATGTGTTAGTGCAGCCTTTTTCGAGTTAGTGCATCTGGGCACTTTTACTCTATAATAGATAGGGTGTTTCTGCAGAGTCCCACCCATCTCACTGACTAATTTGATTATTTCTCATAATCTTCGTGATTGTGAAGAAATTAACTTTTACATAATGATCATTTTAAAATGGTTACATACACATTTGCAATTTATGGAAGTTGTATTTTTGAAAAATAATATGCTTCAGAACAGCATTTAATCCACCTAAAGTCATTACTTTGCTAGTTATTTAGTGAAAACCGCCAATTTTGTTGATGTTTTAATACTCTAAATGCAGAACGCATTTTCAAAATTTACATTAAACATATTAACTAACAAAGTACATAGTTTCTCATAGTTAATCAAAAAATTGGGAATTGACTTTTATAAAGAAATCCAATTTTCAAAAAATAATAACCTCCTTAAGCGAAATCCATGAGATCGGGTATTTAATTTAGTTAATTTGTAAATATGAAAAAATGAAGCACGTTTTAACATTTATGAAAATACCAGAAACCCATATTCATTGAAAAGATATGAAAAATACTGTACGACTGTATAAAAATACTTACTATCCTTTTGCAATATACGTGTCCCATATTCTAATGTTCACCCTATAATGAAAATGATAATTAGCTACTTCATAGATACATGTAGTAGAATTAGTTAGTTTTTTTTTTAATTAACTTACAAGGTGCATTTTGAAGCTTTTACCATTCATTCATTCAACGCGTTCCAAAAATTCCAACATTTTTTGTTCAAAAGTTTAGAATTCTTACACAAAAAAATTGAGGTAGTCAATCAGACAAAGGCCTTGCAAAGGGTTTCACACTAAAGCTTCTTTGAATCACTGCTCTTAGAAGCATATAAAATAGAGAACGTGTAGTTAAAATATTATGTTAATTTTTCATTCAATTAAGTTTTTTAGTTCTATAATAAATATGCTAAGAGCTCTCAGCCCATTTTGTTATCATTTAAATAAAAAATTTATTCAATTTGATTTATACTTGTATGTATGTACATGGCTTTTCTTATTAGTTATTTGATTAATAAGCTACACTACTTAATTGAGAAAAAGATACAAAATTTTAAATGGAAAAGTTTGAAAGAAATAAATAAAGTGAAAAATTATGTTTCACAGTTTATAAAACTTTTTTGCAACAAACAGAACTTTTAATTATCAACATTAAAATACGCTCCGAGAATTATACATACATATTTCCTTCCTTTATAGCTTTCTTAGTGCCTTGTTGGCATTGGTCAAATAAGTTAGTTTGCTAACTCAATAAGATACTTCAGCAAAGTTTCTACTTAACCACAGGATGTTTAAAAAATTCAACTAAAAATATCTCAAACTGTTGCTTAAGTTTAAACAGTATAAAAAATCTTCCTGAATATTCAACGAATGTTTAAATGTATATCAATATTTTTCCTTGTTATTGTTTTTATGTACTTTACTTGAAAGTAAAAAGTATCTACGTGTTCACTTAATTTATGACAAACTTTTTTGATTGCGTATTGCCTTTTGCCTGTCATAAATCTTAAGCTGTTAAAAAGCATTTTTTCCTTTAATTCCTACTTCCTTTATGTATATTCATTTTATTATTTCATGTGCTCACATCCATCTGGAATTCAATTTGATTCGATTCTCGTTACCGAGAAACCTAGGGATGTGACACAAGTAAGCCGGAATTGGTGTGATGCTGTAATAATTTTAAAAATTAATAAACTGTTTTGTTAGGAACATTAGCAACACATCATCTGCTTTATGGTTTGGCATGACTTTAAAATTTCATGATTCTAAATTATGATATGACACGTCAAGGATGTATAGCACAATCTGTGCAGATACAAAGTAATGCTATATATGGCATGGAGTATAATTTCTGAGCAAAGTTAAAGAGCAGACAAGTAAAAAGTAAATTTATCGAAGGGGTGTGTTAATTTGTTAAATGTGAAGCAGAGTTTGTACATTTTACACATATTATACTAGTATATTTTATGATTTATAATGTGGATGATGAAGTTGTTTGAATTAAAGACTAGAATTTCTCTTGATTTTCTAGTCAATAATAAAAGAAAAAAGTTAACAGACAGTTAAATAGCAAATTAATAGCAAATATATATATATGTATATATATATATAAATAACCTCCATAGGTTCTCACACAAAGGTGTAGAAATTAAATGATGGAATTCATTTCTTCTTTATTGTAGCAATTCATACCCAAATTGTTATTTTCTTCTCTAGTATACATATTAATCTACATATCATATTAATCATGAAAAAGGGGTCTAAGTTCATATATATATTGAAATTTATTTATAATTTAAAACCCTACATATATTCATATTAAACAAAAAAAGTTCATTTGTAAGGTAGAATAAGGTATATAAGGTTTAGAATAAGGTATATAAGGTTTAGAATAAGGTATATAAGGTTTAGAATAAGGTATGTAAGGTTTAGAATAAGATATATAAGGTTTAGAATAAGGTATAATCAACTAATTTTATGAATTCGTTAACTGAATCATTCCAGACCCTTTACCACATCTCAGAATTTGTTTGAAATAAAGTTTATATGGTATATTAAATACTCAACTTAATCATTATAGACCATTGCAAATAACTCTTACAAAAATCAAGTGACAACTTTTCAATATTTAGCCAGACGGACAAGCGGATATTAAGAAACTGATTCGCCTTATCCTTCAGATCAACAATACTATATATATGAAGTTCATATAGTCTCCGGCTTCTGATTTCCAATTCAATTGTGTGACTCAGTCATTTAATTCACAAAAGTGAACAACTTAAAAGTACTACGCCACACAGTGTCTGGATTCAAGTCACTTTAAGATCTAATCTAAAACCACTCTTTAAAAATTCTTAAAAACATATTTGGTAGCCTTATATAATGAGTGACACTCTAAACATTCCTTGAATTCACAAAAATGCAAAGTGTAAAGGTAAGAAGGGTTCAAACAGTAATAAAGAAACAATAACAAAAATTTTAATTAATTTATTGAAATTTGGCTGAACATACAACCCTATTTCGAGTATTGCCAAGTATTGATAGCTTTTTTCGGAACCACTACAGGACATATATCTCTACTTAGAATAAATGTTATATGTTTCCATTTATATATTTAGTTTGTAAGACAATCAAGTGGCTACTATGGATATTATTTTTTCCTGATAATTCCAGAATCAAGTACAATTTTTCATGTCATTTATTTTATACTTGTAGGTATTTGAACTGCAAATAATGTAATGAAATTATGTAGATAACTTAAAATAAAGAAACGAAAATTTAGATTTATTTAAAACTCTTACTTTAAACTTTAAAATGCTTCAAAAATTATATTCAATATCAAGTCAATCCTTTTAAAATTTAAAAATAGTGGTTTGAAATGCTGTGGGTATATAGTGGTTAACTATTCTATAAATAAGGGAACTGTGATTTGCCTTACTATATTCAGAATGAATCTTATTCTAAATTCTTTCGAAAATGATCTACATGACTTTGTTGATATAATGCCCAATATTTTTTTGTATGACCGAAAGGTTCTTACAAACAGTCAGGTAACAAAAACTTTTTAGAAAACAATAATCTATTACAGATTACAATACTGACAGATACTTTTAACATCAGCAATTACAAGCAATTCAAATTAAACAAAATTTAAATCAGATCAATCAGTTAGCCAAGCGACTGCTTTATAAATGCATTTGATAAAAAAAATAATACTGAGGTAGATCGGTAGTCTACTAAATATTTTATTTAACATTCGTGATAAAATTGCTGTTTAATCAATATATTAAAAATTATCAAATTGTAAACATTTAATAAAATTTACATCTGAAACCATGAAATAAATACTGGTGTGAAATAAAATATAACTATTGATATGATTTTAATTGAATGAAAAAATTGAAGTTCAAATTTTTTATCTCAATACTTTTATATATATTACTTTTCCCACAGGAATCACATATTCATCTTGTGAAACTAACACGCCTGTTGCGTTTAGCACGTTTGCTACAGAAAATGGATCGATACTCACAATACACGGCCATGATATTGACTTTGTTAATGTTAAGCTTCACGCTAGTTGCACATTGGTTGGCGTGCATCTGGTATATCATTGCCGAAAAGGAGCACTTGATAAATGACAACGACTGGAAAATAGGTGAGTTGGGCAAACAGAAAAAAAAGCATTGTATATAATGATTCCATGTGTATATATCTTTTGATATGTTAACATAGAAACAGAACCTGTTGATGGCTTTATGCAGTGGCTTTAATCCAATATATCTACTCATGTATGCTTGTGTTTTATAATCCTGTTCACTTTGTTCGTATAGCCGAGGGCATTTTTTTTTTAACTGAAACATATCCACTGAAGTGTGGAATATACAAATTGCATCAACATAGATGCGACCGACAACTGATGTGTCAATATGAATGATGCATTTGTATCAATCATCCTAGTTGCAGAATGAACTACTTTATTCAATTTTTCAATTTTCTTGCTAACTTTTCTTTTTTTTTTTTGTTTTGTTTTGGTTTTATTAAAGCATCCTTCGCACTTTATCTGTAGGAAAATGTCCTTCTGTTTTATATATGTGTTTAATTGTACTTCCTTGTGTGAATCCTATTTTACATATTCTTCAATGGAAATAACTACGAAACTATAAATGAAAATTTTCAGAAAACATTTGTTAAGATATGGTAATTGAACGTAAAAAAATAACCATAAGTTGGACAAATGTAACTTTGAATTTAATTAAGTTTGATTTTAAATCTGATAGCTACGAAATCAGATTATGTTTTTAACTTAATATATGTATATCGTTAAGATACGTTAGGTTGGGTAATACTGGCGATCCAAAAGGGATCCACTAAGGCCTATTGGCTCATTGTGCTACCGTATAATAGAAAAGTACAATAACCAGTACAATAAGATATATTTCTTACATCCTTTGGTTTATCTTGTATTCCCAAAACTGTTTGTTTTTCTTTTATTATTACTTTTATTTATTAATATTTAAAAAATATTACACCCCTTCAAAAACAATTCAGATAATATTCAATTTTATTACAGTATTATTATAGAAATTTTTAAAAATTTCAAGCAAAATAAAATATGACTCGAAAGACACTGTAAAAATGACAAAATTTTCAGTTATACAAACTATAAGTCTCTGTCTGTACTAATCCATAAAATCATCTCTAAGTTTTAAATTGAAATTAAACTACACAATTCTTTGGTATAAAAGTTTTGACAATATCGAAAGAATTAAAAAAGCGTTAAGTAAATATACTATAGTCTTTTCATAAGACCCTTGCTGAGTATTACTCGCTAATTAATCTGACTTAGTTTCTAGATAAATCGAATATAAACTCTTTTCAATATCCTGAACTGATGTTAAATGCTTAAAGCTATTTGTGTAAGTAAATCAGATTGAAAACCAAGTTTTTCTATCTCAATAAATTTGAAAATAATCTTATTTATGCTTTCTGAATAAATATACTTTTATTATTTATATCCCTTCAAACTTTAGACATAAAAATGCAGAGTAAAACTTGTGTTTATCTTAAACTAATGTCCTGAGATTATCGGAAAAAAGTTCTGCATCTTCTTATTTCTATTAAATAAAAAAAGATCTAGAAACATGAACCAAAGTTTTTTAAGAGAATTGATCTATTGTTTCAATAGAGACAGTAGAATGCATTTCATAATTTCCCACGTTTTACTTCGAAAGCATCATGTATGCAGTCATAATAAAGGGTTTACTGAGATGTTTGTAAACTGATAAAGAAAACATCAATCATATAAGGAATATTATCTTCAATGAGTGAACCAAATCTAATTGATCCAGCAATTTCTTTCTGTTTGGGTATTTATACATATACTAGTCTATGAGTTTTCATGATTTTTTTTTTTAATAAAGAAATTTTTGAATTTTTTTTAAAAAATTTTTTTGATACTTGTATAGCGGTTAAAAGTTCTAAAATATATTTTTCCGTGCTAGATAAGTAGGACGTCTAATTTTATACTAGTGTATTATGTTTTGAGATAGTATAAAGATTTTTATATGAGAATTTTTTTCGCATCTAAACTTATTGTAATAAAAACAGCTGTTATCTGTATCTTATTGTATTCTTATGAACAAAATAATCAGAAATAACTCTTCTTCATATTTTAAATAGGATTTGGGGTCTGCCAGTTTTTAAAAATGACTACCTCACAAACTGACAGTTTTGACACAAGTTTTTAGAGGAAATTTGTATAATAATATTATTAGGATAATATTATTAGCAACATAATCATCAAATTTTAAATAATAAATGTATTAACTTATATCTTCATATTTAACCCCTAAATCAAACTTAGCTTTAAGATAGTTATTAAAAATACAATCGATTGATTAGATTTAAATATAATTGTTAGACAACATATTAACCCAATTCCAAATAAAGATTTTCGTTTTATAACAAGTATAAAACCAAAAATGAATGGATTTTAGATTTTTACTTTACCAATAATCCAAAAAGTTCTTATATAGTGTGTAGGATCGTATGCGTAGAATGAGCTATGTTTGACAATATCACCAGTTCTTTGTAATCTATATATATTAAATAGCTAAAAACTATTGTTATTTATGGACAAATATATACATTAATACATTATATACATTATCAAAATTAAAATTTCTTCTTAAGGTTGGATGCATGCTTTAGCGGAACGATTACGAGTGCCAATATCTAATATAACGAATGCTGAAGCATATTCTACGGCGCTCTATTTTACTTTGACTAGTTTAACGTCTGTTGGTTTTGGTAATGTTTCCGCTAATACCACCGTTGAGAAAGTTTTCTCTATTGTCATGATGCTTATTGGTGGTAAGTATCGATTGCTATAAACAAGTTCACATTTCCCATAACTTTTTAATTAACATATGTAAAATCAAACTTTTAATATATTTAAGCTCTTATGCATGCCGTGGTTTTTGGTAATGTGACCGCAATTATTCAACGCATGTATGCTCGTCGTTCCTTGTATGAGAGTAAATGGCGCGATTTGAAGGACTTTATTGCTTTACATCAGGTAAACAAAAACATATTATATACAATGTAATTATGTACAATATTAGATAAATTAAAGCTTCATATAACAAAATTTTATTAGAAATGAAATAAATATTTTTAATAATCTGTATTATGTGCTGTTTTCCACTAAGTTCTTATTATTTATTTATATTTTTTTTAAACTTTTCACTGAATTAAATTAAAGTCTTTAACTCGTTGTTAATTATATTCTTAAGCCATAAGTTTTATTGAAAAATAAAAGAGCTTCTTTAATTCAATAATTTAAAATTAGACTTAACAATCATAAAAGGTAGCTAAGGAGAGAAGTAGAAATGTGAAAAAATATTTAAATTGTTAAATTGTTAATAAAAACTTTCATAGAAAAAGTAACAAAACTCCAGAAAAATATGCGAACATAAAAAGTCAAGTACGGATTCGTGTTAGTTGGTTAAGGTGCGCTGATTCTGAGCTTCACAGGACCTGAGTTCGATTCGTGGTACTTGCAGTCTCAAAAAATAATTATTTACGAATAATTAAATACAAGAATTATTTCCAAGACCGCAAATACCCATTTGGCAATACCCATCATCTATTTGGCTGTATGTTCATATTTGGCTGTCTGGTCAGCCAAAAATTCAATTAATTAAAATAATATAAAAAATAAAATTTTTGTTGTTGTAGTTCACTACTGTTCAAAAAAAACCTCTTTAAAAAATATATAAAGTAATATAATCGTGTTAAAATATGATTTATTCAATTCTTTGAGCTTCTTATGATATGGTTCATCTACCACTGAGGTTAACCTCTTAGCTAATATATTATTAAACAACTGTCTGTACTTTAATCATTAACATTTTTATTTTATTGTTGAACTTTGTATTCATTAAGCCAACATCTACTTCTGAGCTAAAAATTTAGCTTGTTTGGATATTTTACAAAAAGATAAGAGATGATGGAAGAAGTTATTTAAACAGTATAATATAATACGCTTTAAATTCTTTAAAGACTCAAGAACCTCAGAAATGTACTTATTAAAAGTTTTTATTTTATTTTAATAGCATTTAAAATGAAATTAAAATTATTTATATTGGAGTGATTACCTTTCTAGTTAGTTTCAATTAAATGGTAAATTAATTTAACGATTTCTTACTGCGTAATAAATCTTCCGCTTTTAATTGGTTCACTTCAATGTAATAAATCTTGGTGCATATCCCCCAATTCATTTCCAAGAGGTAAATTTAAATGACATCAACATTGTCAATAAAAAAACTTTTCTCCGTAGCCAATTGCTTACAGCAATAAAATAAGATAAGTCAATTTATAGAAACATTTGTATCCTCTTAAGAGTTATCATCCCCACACACATTGATTCCACGTGCATAAAATTGCACGCACTCACTTGTAAAACTAGCAATTCCTGAGTTGATGAAAGAATTTTACTTTACTTCCCTGTACGATTTAATCAAAAAGTCAAATAACTTAATAAGTCTTACCTTAAATGGACTCATTGGGAACTCATGGATAAACAGTAACAAATAGATTTACTACGTCAATCCTGGGTATCGAAGCAGATCATTTCATGTTAAAAATTTCAAATGTGCAGAGTCTGAAAAATGAATCCAAACCTGCAGCAGCCTTGTGGACATACGAGTATTCCATTTAAGCAACACAGTAATTATTTCTTTTGTGCAGATGGTCAAGTTTCCGAGTGAATTTCTATTTCACTGAAATGCAGTGCACATATCCAACGCATTGATGTGGAAATTGTAGAAAAACATAAACCACTTTTCGATCAGGTGTATGTGAAGCTCTCATGTGGAAGGTTTAAAATACGAGTACTGCAACTACTCATACTAAACTTACATACCAACGTAGCACAATATTTAATTGTAGTATTAGCAGCAAGTCCACTGGGTTAACATAGTATTTATTGTGTTAATAGCTTTAACTTGTGACACAGTGTAGCTTAAAGCCCAACCAATAACGCCCACTTTGAAATGGTTTTTAATGCGTTTTGCTATCGAAAGAAAATGATAGCATAAAATTAAACAAGAAGTCAGCAAATTGCTGTGAGTAATAAAAATGTTTTACTAGTAATAAGGAAAAAATGTTGCAAATATATTAAGACACATACATGACATGTACATTCAATGTCAGTTAATAACTTCATCAGGTGTATAAATAGTAGAAACATAACACCGAGGCGTTACATAGCACAATTAGCATTTGTAACATTGATAGCTATTTTTTTTATACTTTACAATGGCGTGAATACTTAAATACTTAAAGAGTATTCAACATAACTTTAAAAATTACGAGTTCATTCAAAATTACAAAGCCATCTAACAATGAATTTGAGGATATCTTATAACAATTGCTCTAGCATAACGCCACGGAACACCCATAAGTAAGCTATGTCACATACTCACTCCAACAAACTTACTACTCAGTACAACTTACTACATTTTATTTCTTCTGATTATAATGCAATATTGAACACAATTTAAACTGACGAATGAAGAATTAAACTTCTTCATTACCATGTAATATTGTAAGAGCCGGACCTACTAAATTTTTCTTATTTCGACAATCGTTATTCTTTTTCTCTCACCCTTTCCAAAATCTTGTTATCAATGATATCTTTGGGCACAATTGAACTCAATTATAATTGACGAATAAAGAATTAAAATTCTTCATCGTTATTCCTTTTCTCTCACCCTTTCCAAAATCTTGTTATCAATGATATCTTTGGGCACAATTGAACTCAATTATAACTGACGAATGAAGAATTAAACTTCTTCATTGCCATGTAATATTGTAAGAGCCAGATCTACTACATTCTTCTTATTTCGACAATCGTTAGTCCTTTTCTCTCACCCTTTCCAAAATCTTGTTATAAATAATATCTTTGGGCACCGAACAGATCTGTCTCCTTATCAGAATTTGTCTTTGAAGACCCAACACTTATGTTACTCGAATCTTTTCTATACAGTCTCAAAAGTTTACTAACAAGCTCAATTAAACCAAGACCTAATAAAACTTGTATTTTATAATACCTTAAGGTATTAACCATTACCTGATTAATGTTAAAACGAGACAGAGACAACCCATAACTCCTGCGTTTTCATAAAAAAAAGGTCAAACTTGAAAAACTTATTACTACATAATTTTATCAAAACCAAATGAAACTTACTTGATAGAAGACAAGCTTAAAGTATTGAGATAACTTAAAATTCCTTTATAGCGAAACCATTACCTGATTGAATATGAAATGACATAATAACTAGAATGATAGAAACTTAATACCTTACTCTCTTGACTATTTAATACAAATTTATAATCATCACACCGCCACACCGCATAATAATACATATACGTATATACATAGATCCATATAAAGTAAATAATAATAAAATAATAAAAAAAAAAAAAAAATTAAAATTTAAAAAATTTTTCATTTTTCTGTGGTATACATCAAGTTAGTTTCTTATGTATTTAAAAGTTGCATTAGGAATCCTCCTGATAAGGGCAAAAGCGAATTTGCTGAAATAAGATTAAAAAATATATTGAAATATACATTTGAATTAAAACTTTAAATCCTAAAAAAGAAATCTAAAAATAGGCGTACTCAAAAATTAACTTTCAATTCGTTAAACTTGTGTTCCCAAATAAAGCTGTAGTTTATAAGGTCGTTCTACTTTAAATCACGGCAGGTACTTTGGTTAGTTTCACTTAAAACATAAATAAAAAGAGAAAATAAAACTTGGAACTTGAGTATTGAAAGTTTTGTAACCTTGGCTACTTGTGCAAAAACACGCCATCGCTTCTTATTTGATAGGCACTTGCAGTCCAACAAATTATAAAGGGACTATAAACTAATTTTGAAAAATTCGGATATTTTCTAAGACTACTAGTGATGAGTACTTGGCAATACTCGAAATAGCTTTGCATGGTGAGCCAAATTAGCTATAATTTTTGTTGTTATATTTCATTTCTATTCGAACCTTTCCAACTTTTAAATAGTTTATTTCCTAAGACCACTGATGATGAGTACTTGACAATACTCGAAACAGCGTTGTATGGTCAGCCAAACTGCAATAAATTAACTAAATTTTTGTTCTTGTTTTTTCTTTGCTATTCGACTCCTTCTAACTTTTAAATAGTTTCTTTTCGTCATAAGACGCGTCACTCTCGGCAAGAAAAAATTAACATTTAAATGACTACTTTTAATAGTTTCGAAGTGGCGACTCAAAAATAAGAATTATAATACATTGAAAATATTATTAAGTAGGTATGTTGTAATTACAGTCAAACTTCCACAACTCGAAGTAACATATTGTAAAGAAAAGGTTCGAGTTTCGGAGACTACGAGTTAAAGAACTTTTTTGTAATTGTATGCAAATTGCTCTCTAACTCCACTCTATTTATGCACTCTATTTAGTTGGAGTTATAGAAAATTCGAGTTAAGGAGGATTGACTGTATTTATTATTTGTTAATAATTGACAAATATGGAATATTTTATTTAATTATTGTGTGTCTTCCAAAATTATTATTTTTCATTTTCTTTTAATAACTTTAAAATCAAATCAACCTTAATCCCAGAATCTAATATATTGTAGTATTTACACGTGTACGTTAAACACAATATTTACTCATTATTTGCTGTTGAAGCATAATTTCACAAATTTGTAGTATATGTACACAGATAATAATAATAATAATAATAATAAATAATTTGCAATAATCTATAGCTACAGCACTTATTAAAATTCAATATTGTTCTTCTATTTTCAATTTTGGTTCTACGTATGTCAACAACATAAACCATTGCCTTCTGCTGTTGTGTCTGCGCGACTTGCATATGTGTGGGAACAACCAAACAACCACAGATGCCGAAGGAACTGAAACAAAGGATAGAAGATTACTTCCAAACGTCATGGTCACTTAACCATGGAATTGATATATACGAGGTAAGTAACTGCATAACAGTGAAAATCATTATAATTTTGCTGTCACTCGATACCTAAAACTGTCTGTTTGTCTGCCTGTGTCAAAACAATGCGTGCTTAGAACACAATGTGAACACACTGTGAAGCTTTCACAACAAAGAATTTCATTAACTTGGCCATATTTTTGAATCCAAATTCATGGTATGGCTTTTACCTAAATGTGCATAAATTTTCAATATCAATAATGGTGGCATCAATAGCAGCAATTTTGAAATGAACTAATAAAGTGACAATCATTTGCATATACATACTCATATGTAGTGCTATATATAATTTTACAAACCCATTTACAGCTAAAGTGAACCAAGTTGATACGAGTCAATTTTTTGTTTATTGTGTTTAACATTTTTTTTTTCATTTTCAAAATATGTACATGGACTACCACAATAATTTCGATTATACTTGTCGATTTTGGTCTATACATGTTTTAAATTCAGAATAAATATGTCGACCCTATTCTCATCTTCATCATCTTTATCAAGTTCTGAACTGTCATTCACTCACTTTTAGGTTATCTCGTACAAGCGTGCTAAAGTGTCGTTCCATGGGTTTGTTATTCTTAAACGAAAAACAAAACAAAAAATTTAATAAAAATAAACAAAAACCATTTAAAAAATATGAGAATATGAGAAAATAAGTGTATTGAGAAAGCCGCATGTCCTGTTTATAAATAATAAATTTATTTAAAATGCTCCTTTATTATTTGAAATTATTTATGCGGTTCTTTTTGAACTACACGAAATTTAAATTTTATTTTTATGTGCATAACTCTAAGTCCAATGTGTTTACTAAATGAATTTCCAATGAAAATGGAGAAAATAAACTCAACTTCAAGTATTCTGGTTACATTGACTTTTGAATAAAGAATCCCAAAAAAAGGTCTGTCGACTACATTTTCCAACATTAGAAGTTTATTCACATATTTATGACTTAAATAAATAATATTAAAAAAATATGTTTAAATTGTGTAAACCATAAAGTATTCATAAATTTAAACATTTACTTTAAAGGAAAAAGATACATTACATATTTTAGTATTATATATGACATTAAAATGTGGAATTTATATTTGCATTCAGTACATTATTTATGACAAAGTATAAGTGAATATATAGAGTATATAGAGAAGAATAAAAAAAAATGCATTTATTGTTAAATATTTTTAAATTTTTAAAAAAAATTAATATTGAATTAAAACCATGAACTAAGAAGTATTTGGATAATATAGAGCGACGATAATTAATAATGAGTTACAATAAAATTTTGTTTTCATTTACATGAATATTAATTTTGAACTAACTGCTGAGTATTATAAAATATTCCTCATCTGTAGTTTTTAAATTTTGCATTTAATTATTTGTGAATAATTTTTAGACTACAAGTACCAAGAATTGCACTCATACTCTGTCAAACTTAAGGTGCAGAGTCACTTTTATTAATGAACTTACCCAATTCCATACTGGACTTGTATTGTTTTAACTTGCAGTTTTATGAAGTCGTTATTGTTATTCAACCAACAATATCTTTTGCTGCGTTTTACTATGTACAATAAATAACTAAATATTAATGCAAGTAAAAATCGCAATTCATTTGCAATACCAGCATCGCTGGAATGGATTTCGTTGCTAACGTTAACGGTCAAGTTAATTCTTCAGAACTATGGAAAATATTATTCCCAAATAAGTACAGATAAGATATCATTTTTTTTCGATGCATGTTAATTTATTTTAAAAGGTAATATTATATAGTGCAGAGCCCAATGATCTGTAAATGCATTGATCCTACTACCGGGTGTTTTCCTAATTCAAAGCTCGTCTAATTTATACACAGTTTTATCAGTCTTATACAGCAAGTGTGGTGAATGCATCTATAATTTGGTTATAGGGACATGAGGGACATGAATTTCCAATATTTTTTCCAGAGTTCGTATTTGTGTACCCATGAGCGGCTCATTTTGGCTCATTCGGCTCACGGCTCATGAGCCGGCAAAAAACTCTTTTTTTACGATGGCTCACGCTCACGAGAGAGCCCAACTACAGAGCTCACGCTCACGAGCAAGAGCCGCCATTAAGTTATAAATGGGCTCACGCTCGTGAGCAAGAGTATGAGCTGCGGCTCATGAGATCTCATGCGCCCAATTTAAGATTTTATTATTATTTTTTTTTTGTGAAAACATGTCATTAAGAAAGATTTCAAATATTAATAATCTTGAACTAACTATAATATGGAAATAATCAAAGTCTTTAAAATAAACAATAAATATATTTGTATTGTTTATTTGTGGAAAATAATAATATTTTATAAATTTGTTTTTCAAATTCAAATTATTATTTCATTATATTGTTTCAATATAAATAATAATAAGCTAAATTAATTTCAAATTATATATTTTCACATATAACGTTTATAAAAATTAATAAAGCAAATAAACTAATAAATCGCTTTTTATTAAACAGTTGAGCTCGTGAGCTCTCGGCTCGTGAGACCTCATGAGCAGCACTTCAATATGAGCCCATTTTGGGCTCACGCTCATGAGCCAATTTTGGGCTCACATAAGAATTGGCTCTTGCTCATGAGCCTGAGCTGCTCATGAGTGAGCAAATACGAACCCTGATTTTTTCTATCTTTAGCTAGTTCAAACTTATTATTCGATAGAACATCTTATAGCCTTTATGTATATCTGTAACAGCAGAATGCTAGCAAAGTCATGTTAGGTTGTCAAACAATTTTAATATGGTAATAAAAATCATACAGCTCTTGATCGATTTGAATAAGGTTGTCTACTTTAACATGTAGGACATCGAAAATTTTAAAGTAGGAGTACTTTTCGAAAACTCTTAGTATTACACAATGTACATTTTAAATTAATTATATAAAAATAAATACTTGTAGTATTTGCATCAGCAAGACAGAACTATATATATGTAGGAACGTAAAAATGCACAGCAATTTACATTTTGTATTATATAAATTATATAAGAGTAGCAGGTATTTGTAATTGTTCTCAAACGAGAGAAATATCTTGTAAACTAACAAGTAATAATAATAGTTAATATAGTTTAATGCTTAGAGCAATAAACAACGCGTTTAACTTACTCTACATATATGCTATAAAAATATAATCTATCAAAACATATGCTAACGAAAGTTAAATATTCCAAATTTCAATAAATTAACTAAATTTTTGTTTTTGTTTTTTCTTGGCTATTCGACTCCTTCTAACTTTTAAATATTTTTTTTCGTCATTAAGACGTGGCGCTCCCGGCAAGAAAAAATTAACATTAGAAAGTTCATAACTTTTGGAAGTTATTGTTATGAAATTATTGTATCTAAAATGAAACAGACAGTCTTTTAGGATACAAGTCTATTAAATAGATTTTTCATTCACAAAATGCTTTACTTTTCCAAGAAGAAAAATATAGCACTATGCTAAGTCTTGTGAATATAAGAAGCATTGGCAATCACAAAAAAAAACTCATTTTTAACATGAGTCCACAAAATGCCAAAGGGATTTCTTCTCCAAAAACTTCTTTTTTTAAAAGTATTGTGTCATTGGGACATCATCTTATATATACCTTAACAGTATCTAATGATAAGATAACAGTAAGTCATCATTGAATAAGTAAAATGACATTTTATTATGCCATTATCTCTATAAATATCATATCTTTAAAATTTTAACTTGAAAAAAATAAGTTGGAATAGATTTGTCCTTTCAGTCTTACAATGAACTCCTCCTGCGGTGAAGGGGTTAGAATATTTCAGCGGTAGGAATGCATGTGGTAAGAGGCCACTAAAATCCCAGTGTCACGCCGACACTTGTGCTTGAAGTGTGCATGGTAGTAGGTATTATCCAACCTACGACATTTGACCAGATTTATTGCTATTGTGCTTCGGCTGTGCTGACCACTTGTGGTTGGACTGAAGGGGGATGTGGTTAATACCCAAACTTACGCGAAAAGAATGATTAGGTATTTGTTTATCATTCATTCGGCGTGAAGTGCGTATTTATAATCGGGTGCTGTGACTCAAAGATCAGCAGAGGTTTAAGATCGGCCTCACATGAAACCAAGGTGGAAGTTATGTCCTGCACATATTTCTTCATTTGGCACCGGCGGATTTTCTTGAATTTCCAATGCGGTGTTGATTAACGGCTTGTACCAATACGCTTGTTTTTGAACACCATAGTGTTAAGCCTCCACGGCATAGAATGTTACATAAAATAACAATAGAGATCTAGATCTAGTCTTACAATGCCCACGATAACCTTATTCTAATTACTTAATAGATTCGTTTTATTTTATTTTATTTTACAAATGCAGTTCTCATTTAGACAGTATCATTAATCTCAAGGTATATAAATCATTCATAAATTTGTGTTATAAGTTAATCTTAGATTCTCTTTTTATTAGCATATATTTTCTAATAGTTGATTGAAATAAGAACATTTCACATAAAGACTTTGATACGAGTACTGTTGGTTACATATAGATCTCCCATCTTCAACTAAAATGCATTAAATACAAAAATTATACAGAAAATATAGCTAAAATGTTGATGTCAAAATAAAAATAAAAATAAAAATAAAAGTTAAATGTTTTATGTATTATTTTATTTAGAGCGCTTCTAAGACTTTTCAAAAATTGCTTTCTGAGCTTTGAGCAAGCACTTAAAATTAATATCTGTCACATTTACCATCCATCCTTACTCGGCTTTATTTATATATTTCTTAATTGCAAGGAAATAATAAAATTTTTTATTGTTTTTACTTAAAGAGTCATGAATATTTTAATAAAACAAACCTAACAGATACAAGCAAAATATTTACTAAACTAATATATATTCAAGGGAACCATTTTTGCTATCACATTTACTATAAATATTCTCTGAAAAGCGTTTACTGCTTTTCATTATAATAAAAATGCATTTAAACTGATGTTTTACTGTATATAGCATATTTC